CGTGAAGTTTTCATGCAGTCTTGTAGGCGCTATGCGTTTCACGTCGGCCGCTGCTGACCGCACTGTCTTTGACGCAATGCGTGAAGTATTCCTACAGTCTTGTAGGCGCTATGCGTTCCACGCCGACCGCTGCTGAACGCACTGTGTTTGACGCAATGCGTGAAGTATTCATGCAGTCTTTCGTGTAGCCACTAATATGTTTTACAAGCCGACCGCCGCGCCGAGGGCTTCAACTTCCCATCGCAAGTCCTCGTCATCATTATTGTTCTCTGCGCTGCGCTGCGCCGTTCCTGGCCAAATCGCGTGTTTGGTTTCTCTCTTCTTTCGACTAACTAAAGGTGCTGTCTCTTGTATCACCGAAAGCCGACAGAATTAGAAATTACTGCACTCTCAGGAAATAAGAGATTATGGCGCCTTTTCTTGTTTGTAATTTTTTTTATTTGAATCCGATTTTTTTATACCTACATTTAAAACAATTCCAAAATTTGCCGCCATGGGCCGCGGCCCATGTGGCCACCCCCTAAATACGGCCCTGGGACGGACAGTCAAATTTTGATCAGAATGGAGTGCCACCATTCATCATTTCTTGTACACGAAACATTTCTGCCAATAAGTTTTCATTTAAAAACTACGCGGAGCAACAACTTTAAGACTAACGACTCCCGATACTTTGATGATAATTGGTTCGGGAATTTGATCGTGTATCGAGACCTAAAAAGAAATGGTGGAAGCTTTTACTTTCGGACCTCCAACATTCAACTCTCGACCTACCTACTAGGTGCATGTTGAGCAACGTGTTGAGCATTTCGCTGTGACGAAAAAATGACGGACTTTTATTTAGCATCCGAACAGCGGAGCGATCAATAGCAACTTAGGAATCGTTTTATTTCAGCACTTGAAACGTGAGTATCGGAGGAGCATGATCCCTTAGCCGGGTTTTATCGCGGGAGAGCTGCGGGAGGAAAAGTTGGGATGGGTGATAAAAAGTGCAGTTTACACGCACTTAAACACAAAGAGTGTGAATAAACAAGGGAGGCTGGCGAGTCGCGGCGTCTTATTCATGACAGCGAGCCGGGCGTCTCGAGTCGGGCGGATGGAAGCTAATTGCCAAGTGAGCTCGGGGTTAGGATCCTAGGACTCGACGGTGTGTAATCCTTTCTGTGAGCTATGCGCTTTATTTAATTGCTTGTAAAATAAGTTACTCGAGTGGAGGCTCGGGGGCCCGCGAGGAGGAAATAAAGCCAAGAGTCCAACTTTCTCATATTTCTCTTAAAAAGCGGAAATCATTTCACTCGCTTTAATTGAAGAATGAAAAGTTTGAGCCCCCTCCTCTTCCTCTATTCATCCGTATCCTTTCCGTCCTCCCGTGCTGAGGATAAAGGCCGTATCAACATTCCAGAGTTGCCGAATTTCTCCGGATAAAGTGAGCATTTTAGAGGGAAGTCATGCATATTTTAACTTGATTTTTTTCAGAAATTTTTGATTCGATTGCGAGGAATATTATCTGGAAAAATCCAAGAAAAATATTCGTAATTTTCTTAGTGAAGTTGCTTCTTATTGAAGGAAATGTGGCAATGTCTGAAGGCTCATACGGCGTTTTTCCTAAGCAAGGCAGTGTTCTCCGCCAGGGTCCCGGGGGATTTCGAGCTGCATGATTTTACAAAAGCGGCACCTCCAGAGAGGCGTTTGCCTTCAGCTTTTAAAACGAAATAAAGTATTGTTTACCTTCCCACTGTGGGATTCTGCTCAAGCGAAAATTCGAACCTTTCACGGCTTCCAGTCATTTCATGGTTGAGCCGTTCGGGCCTTGATGCTGCCTCCGCGGGAAACTCGTGACGCCGCGCGCCGTGCGGCTTATGTGATATCACGAAAAAAAGGGGAGGGGCAAGTCATTTGCCTCGGGAACTTCCTCCCACTGTGTACACACGGAGGAAAAAAGAATCCTTGCTCCTACAATGCCTTACCATTTCGCTTCATCACTGTTTCTTTATTTCCATAGAAAAAAAGAGAGCCGCAATATGAATTCCAGGCCGAATGGTACCCCCTACCAGTGGCTAAGACAAGGGGAGGGGGTCCAGGGGGTCTGGACCAGTGGTGTGGCGTGCTTTGCGATATATCGATTGTCATGCCATTTAAACTTGTGGAAAAGGATCGATAAACAGGGTGTTCGCAGCGAACGCCTTAATAATCGATTCTTTACTATAGGTTTAAATGACATAACAATCGATTCATCGCAATTCACGCCACGCCACTGCTGGTCCCATCTCCTTAGCCTCGTTAATTGAACCTTTTTTTACTTTTAGAGGGCAGACATAATCATTTCAGAGACGTACACAAAATAATGTAAATTTACCGTCACGTTTTTGAATGGACCCCCCCCCCCCCCCCCCAAGAATTCCTATAGCCATACGCCACTGCCCCTTACTTTTACAGGTTGTCTCTGATTGACTGATCCGCCTGATGCCCACTTTTTGAGTCCCATTTGAAAGATAACACGGGTTTCATTTTCATCGAAAATAACTCGAAAACAAGGAGAAATTTTTGGTGATTTCAGGCATCAATTCTTCAGATTTTTCTGAAGAGATTGATGGGTAATACATGACACTTTTTCTCGAAAATACCGAACATTTTGATCTGGATTTTGTTTTATCAAATGGAAATAAGACGTTCAGTGCTATGCAACAATTTTCCAATTAGTTCGGGTTTGGTGACGATACCACACTGTCATAATCGCTAAAATTATTTTTTACTAACTTCAACGTAATACTGTAAATACGGCTAGATGAGCTGGTAAAAAGCGCATTTTGTATAAGCTCTCCATTGCGCCTTCCGAGCTCCGCTGAACCCGCCTATGAACCTCCCTGATCGAGGCCAACAGCGATTTTACGTGGGTGCCAGTACGCCGTTTCAGCATACATTAAAGTTCAAATTCATTTTGCGTTGTCGGAAGCCTCCGGTGTTTTGCAGAAAAGTTGGGATAATTTTAATCCAAAAATGGCTGTGGGCAGGTTCTCGAAAAGTCAAATTCTCCGGATACCCCTCAGCACAACTATTCTCGGACTCTTTCTTAAAAGGGTCTCCGTTTTTGAGGGAACATCCTCACAGGTTCCACGAAGGACGTAAAACCTCCCGACTTTGTTCCGGCCGCTTGAATTCCTCAGTATTCTACGGAAAAGAAACCCTTGAATTACTTCGGAAATAAATTTACTGAGTCATGGATTTCGGATAAATTGGATCGATTTAGGCAGAGAAAGACTTTTTTTTTTTTTTTTGGAATGCAGGAAGTCTACATATTGTAGATTTTCCGTTTTATTTCTGTCAGGGAAAATCATTCTTTTCAATTTTTAATCTAAATGAACAGATGGAGCTGTGCTTGTTTATCTCTGACCAAGGAGGCTACATTTTCTGCAAAAATCACTATTTTTCTTATCTATCACTGAAAAAAAACACACACACACATTGGATCTAGAGTCCAGACTCTTGAAAACATTGACAAGAAAAAATACTCTCGATTCAATCGGATTTTTGCTTGAATCAAAACGAAATCCGCTTAAATTAAGAGGCTTGGCTCTTGATTTAAGCTAGATTCTGATTGAATCAAGGGTACTTTTTCTTGTCGATGTTTTTAAGAGTCTGGACTCTAGATCCAATGTGTTTTTTTCCCCCAGTGAATCGTACTCTGTAATGTTAAATCATAACAGTAACGCGTATAACGCATAACGCCTGAGGCGCAAAGAGCCTAGGGGGGTTGTACTGCGAAGCTATCAGGTTGCGTACCCTTTCGTAACATTCAAGGTTGAACAAGCCTCACTCTTTGGTATTTTGTTAGGCACTTGCTTCAATAATAGTACACAGAAACGTTGCACTGGTCGCACGAGGAAAATGAAAACGCCTTCAATCTTCAGTAAGCAACCCGCACATCCGAGGAGTTCGAATAGTTGTATCCAGGCGCTAGTATGAAAGTCACGGTGCTTCGTTTCTTTTTCTGTCCATTTTATCTGGTTCATACCTTTGAAATGAAGTCGATTTTTCAGAAGCCAATTGTAAGGTTTCAAAACTCTCAATGTGGTTCATTTTTGTATAGATGAGCGTCCAAGAAATCTTTCCAGTGACTTTACTACAAATTGGTCGCAAGAATAAAATTATCTTCATCTTTAATTTCTCTTTTATTTTCCCTTTTTTTCATGGTCTACAAGGCGGTTGATACCAACCCAAAATGTTCCAGGAATTTGGATGTTCGTCTCTGGCCTTATTTATCCATTTTCTTAGTTTGTGTTCGGCGAATTATTCTGAACAAATTTTGACGGATATTCTTGCTCAGCATCACACTTTTTATGGGCGTTTTAGGACGCTGCCGTCTGTCCCAAAAACTATCGAGGACGTTCATTTGTCTTTCAAGGGAATCCGTGCTATTTCTGCGCAATCTGACAACCAAATTTTTTTCCCCAGTTTCGCAAATTTGGAAAAAAGGCAATCACTCTCGTCTGGTTGAAAATTTCAAAAATCGGGCTTCGAGGTACACGTGTGCGTATAAGGCTCCATCAATGGGTAGAAAGATCTATGTTGAGAGTTCAATGGTATTATCTGTACACCTTCACATACTTTTTAAAACAAGGGGTCAAAAAACCAAGTCTCTCGATGAAGGCGACTATCGATGCAAGTTGCCTAGCGAGGACGGCGCGGCGGGGTCGGCGCAGCTAATTCGCATAGTGCACGTAGCTCACGCTGGGGCGAATCAGCAACAAGTTGAGACGGAGCCCCGCGGAATACGAACGGGGTCCTACTCCCATTGATGAAATTGACGAAGTCGGAAAGGGGTGAAGAAAAGCCGAGGCGCAGTTGTGGTAGGGATGCCACCAGGGCCCTGCCGGAGGGCGGGGGGAGGGTGCTGAGGGGGCGGAGCGGCGGCTGTGGCGGCGGCGGGCGTNGGGGGGATTGATGGGGGAAATTGCGAGGGAGGCGAACTTCCTTCGGGCTCCGACAGCCAGTTGTTGCGCTTCTGCCCGCCGCCTCGCACCCACCGTGGCTCTGCTCCACCTGAGCGTCGTCGCGTCTCCCGCCGATTTCGCACCGCATTCCGCCTATACACAATTTCCGCCTATATTTTTTCGGGCTCCCCCCGCCCCTGCCCGCTTTTTGTTTACACGTTCGCGCGCGGCCTCCGAGCGCCTACTTTTCCGCTTCTTTCTCCCGCCCCGCGCCTCGAAATTAATCGGGAGCCTCTCCTCCGACGAAACAAAAATTAAAAGGATTTTCCGTCTTAGCGCCGCCGCCGCCGCCCGGTAACCGGTAAACAATTGGATGCCAGTACTCGATAAACTTATGTTCGTCGGCGGCGTGTTTTGTTTCTCGGTTCTTGATGAAAATTGACACTCGCGGTTCCGGTTGCGGCCTGCTTTTTCCAGGAAATACAAGTGAGGATTAGGCGAGGGCTTTAAACAGCTCGGGAGCTTTTTTAATTCCCCCGGAACTCGAGGAGAGAGCAGGTAAAATAGCTGTCTTTCCATTCGACAAGATCCATTCGTAGATCAATGGCGTTTTCTGACTTAATATTTGGAGGAGGTAGAATGAGGGGTGTATATCGACGGTGAAACTACCAAACCACGTATCTCGGTTTGCGACGTCGCAGACTTCCTGTCATACTTTATTTTTTAAATGAAAAACTACTCAACATCCAGTCTTGAAAATTTCTGTGATTATTCCTCTTCGTGCGGAGAAAATTCCGTGAAAATTTCAAAGAATGATATTGATTTGGTCTACTTCAAAAAAATAAAATGTGAGCGTAGATTTTTAAACACCGCAAACGAGATACGTGGTTTGGTAGTTTCACCGTCGATATGTTGGACAGATTGTTTTCGCCTTCAGTTCTCGAGGTAGACTCAAAAACATCCATGTAACAATACTGCCGTGCTAAGCAAGAACGCCGTAAATCCATCAAGATTTTCCCTCGTTTTTTGGAACTTAACACTTGACAAAATAAAAACTGTTCTACCCATGCACCTCAACTTTTCAAGTTAAGTTCTTGACAGTATTTGCGAAAGAACTCTGTGAAAACAAAGTCTCAAAGTGCACAAGTTTTTCTGCCATGATACATTGTTTCCAATAAAATTAAAATGGCGTTTACGGCGTTTTTGCGTTGCACAGCAGAATAGTTGTGATGTATCCTGGAAAAAGGGCCATTAAGGTGTGGGGAAGGTGAGTGGACTGTTACAGTAGAACCACATGTAAGAAGAGTCAACTTAGCATCATTTGGCGCAAAAAACCGCCCAAAATTTTCAAATTGTCCTTTTAATATCAAGAGGGGTGTATTTATACCAAGAGAACTATGTGCTTTAGGTTTGGGTGCACATTGTTCCTTTTACCAAAAATGTGTACAATCCAAAGTTAAGGAGCGATAAAAAATTGCAAATTGGAGATATTACACACAAAGGATGCTTTTGCTGTTGCTAGCCTTAGAAACGATTCAATTCCAACGCTCACAGGCCAATTGATAATGCAAATTATGGGTTGAATTTTGATTAGTTGTTCGGAATAACAGCTGAAAGCGTCTAGCATTGAAAACTGAAAGTTGACATTTTTAACTCAAAGTCGAATTTTCCACTGTATTGAACAATTTGAGTTTCCATCTCAAGGGCCCTTTTACCTGACTTCATCTCGGTTATCTATCGCAGGACTAGTGTTTTACGTTGTCTACAAATCTTACCTTGTCAGAATTATCAGAAAATTTTGATGGTAGCTCTGTTTTTTCTAAGACTCCATTGTTGAATTGTGTTAATAATACAAAAATAATAATTCACTCCCAAACTTTTTCGGGGAGGTAGAGCTTCCGTAGCAGGTATGCAGAAAACGCCACTGATAGACAAGTAATTAAACAATTAGAAAATATCTATATTCGTATATCTGTATATTTATAAAATTCCAAGTGATCAAATGATTCAAAAATTGATTAAGCGCAGGCGTCAATTTACTTATCACAGAAATATTTACTGTGCAGTCGAATTGTTGCAACAAACTTAGAGGGTGATGAGGTTCTAAAATTTTTCATGCAGAGATAAATGATAATTGATAAATGTGACTTTCATTGATGTAAATTTTTATTTTGAATTATACTTTTCTTTTTTTGTATTTAGTGACGTTTTACATACAAAATAACGCTCACGCATTATCTACTAGACATCAACACTATTTTTTTTTCTTTTAAGGAGAACCAACCAGTGCTTTTACTTGCACAAGTTAATGAGCTTTCAACCTATAAAGCAAAACAATTTCTGTAAAGGGTAAAGAAAAATAGAGCGAGAAGGGGGGGGGGACGAGGGAAGAAAATAGGGAAAAAGCGGGGAAAAGGTAGTACAAAATCTTACAGCACATTGACGTCATCGCGGCTCCACACATCTTACGTCCAAATCTGAGAGTACGCGAGCTATGCACTTTGTTACATTTCATGATTTGGATTCATTATAAATCGTCAAACATATAAGCCCTTATCATGACTTACAATTCCTAGAAGATGTTTCTACTAAAGTGAGGAACAATTAGAAAATTATTCGCGAATCGGCACAGAGCGAGTTTCCACAAAAAAACCTAATTCTATAGTTCTGGAGGTTGTTTTTCAGTACATTTTCCCAGGTCATACTTTCACATGCTCGTAGGTGATGCTGACGATAAGGCTGTAGGAGTTTTGATCCTTTATGTCTTGATAATAACCCACAAAGATAAGAGAGAGAAAGAACTTTCAAGTTTGTCAGTTCCACCGTCTTTTAAGGAGTAGCCCTCAACAGTATAGCTCATAAAATGTAGATCATTTCAAGACAGAGAGAGTTCGTGTGGCATTCTCACAAATAGATCTTGATTTGAATGTAATTCCTCTAGTTTGATGATGAGACTCGTTTCGATGACTTTCAGTTAGTATACAATGTTTCTCTCATTTCATTTCCTAAAAAAAATGCATTTACTAAAACTGTAGGCGATTGTATTGATTCATGCTACTTCGCGTTCGAGATAAACGTACCATTTTGGCACAAAGTCGCTGTTAGCACTAGCAAAGCGTCGGTTTATATCTTATTAATCAAATCAGAACTAACTACTTTCATAAAGCCATGTTCCGACTTTAATGATTTATTTTTAGGACACAATAGTGTTTCAGCACACCAAAAACTTGATGCATTCTAAGAATACACATGCAACATAAACACGTATAGTTGTGTTCAAACATTTCCTAAGCAGGGTGCAGAATCAGCTCCATCCCATGGAGTACCTTCGGCACTCGGTGGCTCCTCATTTTTTTTTTTTTTTTTTTTTTTTTTTCCCCCATTTTTTTTCATTTTTCTACCCTGAGAGTCGTACTCATAGTCGTTCCATCAACCGCTCATTACCTTGATGAGGCTCCATTTGGTTTACATAGTTATTAAGGGAGGTTTAAGGAAGGCCACTAACATTGGAGAATTATAAAAGTACAATTATTCCTGTTGAGTAAAATTTGACATTATAATGTAATAATTATTTGAAAATAATTTAAAACGACCTATAGCCGTAAGCTACATCCATTGACTATAGGTAAAACTCTCATCTTAGGATTTACCTTCATGTTAGCCGAGTTATGCCCTTATCCCTGTGGAGAAAATGCAACAGCGTTGCAACCCTCTCCCCCCTTTTCTCCCCTCTCTCCCTTAAAAAGAGGAACGCATGTGGCTTTAAGTTATAAAAACTGCGTAAAAGTTCTGAAAGCTACATCACATGGTGAAAGCTCGCTAAGTCGAATTATGTAGGAACAGACGAAAAATTCGACTTAAGCGACAATTCGTCTTAACAGATACTCCACCAAACTCATGGATGTTTCTAGGGACCGAAAAAAACTTCGACTTAATCTGTATTTCGTCTAAACCGTAGTTCGACTTAGCGAGCTTTCACTGTATCACGGTGCGGTTGTGGCCTTTGCACGTTTCAGCCATAAGTTTGCAGACATTTCCACCGTAACCGTTCAATAAATGTAGACATACCTGTGGACATCATTTTTTTAGACATTTCTACCGTAGCTTAAAAACAAGAAAGCATTCTTTTCGGCGACACTCTTCAGAGAAAACACTGGGGAAAAAAAACACATTGGATCTAGAGGCCGGAAACATTGACAGGAAAATGGACTCTTGATTCAAGCAGATTTAAGCTCAAATCCGCTCAAATTAAGAGGCTTGGTTCTTGATTTAAGCTTAAATCTGATCGAATCAAGAGTATTTTTTCTTGTCGATGTTTTCAAGAGTCTGGACTCTAGATCCAATGTGTTTTTTTTTTCCCAGTGAAGAGCTGTTTTAAGGGACGACCATGCATACGACTCCAAGGACATTTTTGCGTACCTCCATCAACTTGAAATGGTGAATTTTTGACCCACTTATGGGAGCAGCGCAGGAAGTAGTAGATACGGCAACTTACCGATAAAATTGTAAAAACAAACACGCGGGGAGCAGAAGGTGGTTAGAATCACATGTTCGCGTAGCTAACCAAACACGCGGGCCCCGGCGGGACGTAAGCACATCCTCGAAACGGCGGCGCGTATCAACAGACAACGACATATCCGCGATACCATTTGACCGCCCGAAAACGTGCATAAATCCGTTTCGAATCGTCTGCGGTGGGTAGATTAACCGCATCACACCCATATTACCCGCAGACTTACGTCCACCAGGACACATGATCGAGTTTTCCGCTCGTTCCCATCGCCATCGCCTCCGTTCTATTCGCGATTCCCGTTAATTTGTGGTCGAAATACCATGCTCGCAGCTGGAAAACCCCACCATGTGCAGCCAATATTACATTCTGATTTGGCGGGAAATGCCGTCCGAGGAGCGATTTCGCGCGATTTTTGATCGATTTTATGAGTGTTGCAAACTTTTGCTCAGTTTCTACTGATCGGAATTCATAACTTGAGTACCCATATAGGGAGAGTATGGACAACTCGAAATATGTAGCTCTTAGGGCCCAAATGGGTATTTAACCTTTGAAAACGAAAAATGTCACTGTCAATCTTTAGACTCCAAACAAAATGGACAAGAAAATTCATAAGTAAGTATTCTTCCGCAAAAATGAGTAAGTTTATGCAAAAAGCAAGTCAAATACGTGCTTTGCCAACGACAGTTCCCAACAATTGTGATAAATCACTCTGGATAATTTGAATTCATAGATTGCCTACCCTTTTGGGGTCTAAGAGCTACATCTTTCGAGTTGTCCATACTCTCTCTATATAGGTGCTCTATTCATAACTTCAAAATTTTGCCGTGTTGAGAAGGGACGTCGCATGAGCTAAATTGATGCCTAATAAATGCCTAATTGATGCCTAATTTTGTGTTGGGCGTTTTCGAGTGAAAAATACACTCGGAATTATTGGCGCATTTCTAAATTCCTTATTTAGGATTTGTCCTCACGAGCTACAGGCAACAGGTTGCGGCGCTTCCAGCTGCACTTGGTTTTCGACCCTTTTTTGGGCGCAGACAGAATGAAGTTGATCTTATTTCTGCTAAAAGGAACTGTGTTGCATGCAAACCCTATCGTAAATTATCAGGACCGGATTAAGGGGGAGGCCACATGGGCCGCGGCCCATGGCGGCAAATGTTGCACTTTTTTAAAATGTAGGTGTAAGAAAAATCGGATTCAGAAAAAGAATTATCAATGAGAAAAGGGGACAAAATCTCTCTTTCCTGAGAGTATGTTAATTTCTAATTTTGACGTTTTTCGGTGATACAAGAGACAGCATCTTTAATTAGTCGAATTTAAGAGAGGAACTAAACACGCAATGTGGCCTGGAACTCAGCGCAGAGAGGAATGATGACGAGGACTTGAGATGAAAAGGACAAGCCCTCCTCGGCGCGGCGATCGGCATGTAACACATGTTAGCGCCTACAAGAATGTATGAATACTTCACCCGTTGCGCCAAACACAGTGCGGTCAGCAGCGGTCGTCGGTGTGAAACGCATAGCGCCTACAAGACTGCATGAATACTTCACGCATCGCGCCAAATACAGTGCGATCAGCGCGGCGCAGCGGTGGAAGTTAAAATGATTAAACCACATTTATGTTTGTTCTTTCATAATGTTTTGGTTCATTTCTTATAAATGGAGGACCTTGTCCACATAGAGATAAGGTTTACGGAACTTAACTCTCGCGCCAACCTTCGTGAACTTTTGTTAGTAGTTGGCGTTCTAGTTTAAACTTAAGTCCTAGGTTAAATTAAACAGTAATACCACTATTCGAACCATGAGAGTGCGTGCTGCATACTCACTTAACTAAAGGCGAACTAGTCCTATCATACGAGTAAAATAGTAATTTTAACACACAACACGAACACAAGCGAATGTTTGGTCTTTAGTAATTATTTAAACAAAATTGTCGGGAAAAAGAAAAAAAAGCTTTTCCCGATATAATCGAGCGTGGGGAAACGTAAGGATAGTGGAATGCAGACGAGTGTTTTTTCAATTACATCATCTGTATCGTGACTCTGGGTACGGCGCGTCCCACCTTTCGAATTTTAGTAACGTTTTTGAGTAGAGGCCTTCGTGTTTATCGTAGTGCATCATAATGTCACATGTGGATCGAGCAACGAGCTGTTTTGTATCATGATAAGATGCCACTTAACTCGTGATTGCGCTAAATTCGCCAGTTTCGCACCACGGATGCTACTTCAGAATGTCTATCTGTCGGGGGATAGATCCTTTACTCCTGGACAAAATGAGGTTTTTGACACGAGTAATCGATGAAACTGTTGATCGTTGTCGTTGATGAATTCAACAAACCACTCTGAGAGCGTTTTGGCGAGCGATCATTGTAACCTCTCGGATTTTAAAAGTGGGAAGAATTTATGGGGAAGAAACAAGTGAAATAACACATTTTAGACTGGTTAGCTCTGACTAGTTCTCTTATTTTGTAGACCTCATTTTGACTGAATAAAGACAGTTTTCCCTTTAAGAATTTTCTATCAATTGTTATAAATCATATACACGGTAAGAAAAATTAACCAAAATTGTGTGTTGACTGGGGAAGTAAAACACGGAGTAAAACTCCGCATAACGTATCGTTAACAGAAATTTATTGAAAATTCTATGTGTACATTCTGACGTAATTTAATTTTCTTGTCTTCTTCTCTTTTCCAGAATCGCTTGCTCTGAGTTGCTGATCGGTATGTTATCATATTTTCTCATCATAGTTTATGGGTATGACGTAATTTGGCTTCGTGACGTCCTAAAATTGAACGTCTTGACAATCGATTTTGGCGGAGGTGTCGTTTGTTGGCATACCTAGAAGGGATCGGATCCGTAATAATAGTGTATGATGTTTAAATTATGGTTGTGGAGAATGATACCATAGTTGACGCCATAACGAAACAGCCACTCTGGTAAGGTCATGTTATTAGGATGATAAAGGCTGCAAGAGGTAACGGAGGGGATGCCCAGTGAAAGGGTAGCGACAGGAGGTTGAAATAGGAATAGGACTTTTTTTATCCAGGGAACGTATGGAAAGTGATGGATTGGGTTATCTGCGGTTCGAACAGTTCTGCCTGAGGTTGGGATTGCACGTAACGCACCACGAGCGATGCAAGCGTTCCACAGGAACGCGTGGAATGGGCTGAACCGCAGAAAAGTAATGTGGTTCATCGCGATCCTCTGCGGTCCGAATAAAAAATAAGCCCTAATGAGGGGCTGCCAGATCCGAGAGAGGCTTTAGGGAGGTAAAAGATTGAATTGAAATAGCTAAAACGGGAAAATTCATCTTACTTGTATAAAAACGAGACGTAAGTGCGCAAAAAATTACGTAATTTTAGGCACAACAGCCGTAAGTGACATTATTCCTCCAGAGATTCAGAACAGTGCTTACAAGTAAAATTCTGCCCACCTCTGCTAGTTTCTAACCTGAAAATGGGTTTGTTGTGTGTCCAAAACGCGACCACGAAAGCATGTAGAAGAAAACACTTTCGGTTGTCTTGCCTAACTTGCAATTGAATAGTAGCTTTTTTTGTGAAATTGAAAGCAAATCGGTCGATTTCTAATCATCCAAACGATTTCTGAGTCTTTCGGGTAAATAATGACAATTTAACAAAGAACGGAGACTTCTTTTAATAAAATTTTTCGCTCAAAGGCTTCTGAGCCCATTTTCTAAAAACTTCATTTATGTACTTATGGCTCTATTTGCTATCGCGGCAGTGCAGCGATCAGGTATCACAGAGCCTCAGAAAACGCTGTAAAAGTGGCTCTCACTTGTGTGTAATTTTTTGAAAACACGTGGATAGTGTCTTTCAAAATTTAAAGTCCGCACCATTATTTTTTTATCTTGATCTCATTCATCAGTGATGAAGAAAATGTATTAGATCAGGGTGTAACAGGGCATCATGGGTACTGCGACGGAGTAGATGACGTCATGTACATGAAACGTCTTCCGCAAAAGGCATTACATTGGCCAATACTGGACCTGGCGCACTGGGGTTTTCTAATTTCATCCCCTTGATCAAAGTAGATGCTCCGGAACTTTTTACCAACGGGCCACCCTTGCAGGGTCTGCGGGACAGCTCACTTCACCCCTTCTGGAACTCGAGACCCTTTTTGTAAAAACTTTCATTGAACTTTCCATATATTCCATCTTCCTATCCTTTCATCCCAATTTTGTATAATGAGCTTTAAAAGTAAAGTAAATTAAGGAAATAAATCACTCAATTCTCTTCTCAGTTTTGAACCTGAATTTTAAAGCGCTTGATTACGTAGGTTAAGAATCTGCCTCGAAATCATTCTGCCGTGCTAAGGAAAAACGCCGTATGAACGTTCGGGAGTATTCAGGTCTCCCCGAATAGAACCTGGATTTTTGCGGATAACTTTGCTTATTTTTCCATGGAATTCTCAGGTCTATGGATTAAGTTGCGAACAAATTTCTCTGAAAAATTTGGAGAACAGTATCCACAATTTTCCTCGTATTTTCGTTATTTAAAGCAAATTTGCAGGTAACATCTAAAGGCTCATTTGGCGTTCTTCCTTAACAAGACAGCATAGCAAGTATTGGATAAATATAAGTAAAGGGCATGTTCTTTTTTTAGATTTTCTTTGTAACCCTCTTTCTTTACTCCCCAGCTTCGGCTCTCTCTTCAATTTTCTTCATCCCCGGATGTCTCAGAGTAACCTAACAAAGGGTTTCGGTCGATTTAATAAAAAATCTGGTCTATGCTGCCGTGTTAAGTAAAAACGTATGAGCCTCCAGGTGTTGCCGATTTTCCTTTGACAAATCACTAATTTTCAAGAAAAATTGTGCATATTTTTCTCCCGATTTCTCAGATAATTGTTTTTCTTAATTTTATCTAAAAAGTCTGAAAATGTCAAAGAAAAATAATTAAGATTTTCCTCAAAATTGAACATTTCATCGAAAAAAACTCGGCAACTTTCGAATGCTCATACGGCGTTCTTCCTTAGCAAGGCAGTATAGTCCTTTTGGTTGATTTTAACTAAAAAAAGTAACTCAAAGTAATCCGAAGTAACCATAAACGGGGAAATTTTTACCTATAAGGCGTAAATGCACCGCGCTCGTAAATCGAGGCTCTCTCACACTAATATGTTGCTAAACTGTATCGATTCGGTGTTAATTTGGTCAGCGGCATCATTTATCTTCCGCGTACACACCTGTCGGAGCGTGCAGTGCGTGCCCCGTGCATACCCCGTGGAAAAATTATACCCCCAAACAAAGGGAGCGTCGAAACGTAATTACATTCATTCATCGTTCATCATTCCGCGCTTTCATTCTTCGGCCGCATAGATCATTATCAGCTATCAACGTTCGACCTCGATTTGGATGTCCTATAAATAAGGTTATTTGCAAAAACTTGTAAATCGGTAAAAGCCCTCAGCGCGCTTCGTACATACTGTCGAGGCTTCGTAAATAGAGAGATTATGGCCAATGAAAACCTTAAAATCCATCAGGCGGGGAACAGGAACACCGGATGCCGGCCACGTTGGCTTGGTAGTCAGCGCGAATGACTCTAGACCAATGGGTCCTGGGTTTGAATCTCGGTGGTGGCGACAAATTTTCAGGGAACTGACGAGTGGATCTGTAGATACAAACCCCACTCGACTTTAATCTCTGAAGAGTTGAAACTCCGGAGCATTGATGTGTACTAACCCTTAGAGTGCGGTGGCTGTTTGTTCAGCAACTAAGGCCAAAATTTAATTCTAACTAGAAAGCGTTCCAAGCTCTTCATACAAAAAGAAAAAAAGGGGCGTTGGAGGGCCTGCCATCTAAGAATCTACTCGGCTAGTTCAAAGAAATCTGACAAATTTTGCTAAATAAGAGTGTGACTTGTCTTTTACCTTTAGATTATAATCTGATCAATTTTTCGGTACGAATTGCTCAGAATTACTCCTGAAAGGTCTCAATTTTCAATTTGAGATCTTTGAAATTTTTTACTTGTATTCTTTTCCTTTTCCCCCCTTTTTTTTGAAAAAAAAAAATATGTTGTTTGTTATTGTTGCGTCAATTTTCCGAAGATACGCTCGACAGCTCGAGGAAAAATGAAACAACATTTTCGCAGAAACGATAGAACTCTTAAAAAAGTAAACCACGACGGGAGATTGCCAATATCGCAACCTAGTGTGATAGTTGTACCATCGATATTCTCTGTTATAACTGTAGGTAACTTCGTTTTTTGTCAGTTGGCGGGTTTGATTAGCGGGTTTGTCGGCGGACATGATCTCTGAGTGTTTCGAACGTGTCCTTTTTGACGTTAGGAATTCTGTTTACCAAAGAGTAAACCGAAAAGAAGGCAAAGCAAATGTCTGAACGTCTGAACGGCTCGCAGAGACCTGTGCTGAAAAGGCGAAGTTAGTAAGCTAGTTTTAAAAGTCTCCCTGGAGAGAGGTGCTCGGAGCTGAAACCTGAGGGGAATCACGTGAAAAATAGATAAGACGCTCACCGTTCAGACCGTTAATTTCTTTAAGGGAATTTCATGCAACCTCTGCCCGAGATTTGAGTTGTGGGCGTCCCAAATCCAGTTGGAATTTACGTTTCCGAAGCATTGAATCTTTGTATCTTGTTGTCTTTTCGTGCGAAAGCCATTCTCTCCACCAAATGCAATGGATAACTAGAGAAATCAAGTATTATATATCGATGGCTTAAGTGCGAAACCACGTATCTCCGTTTTCGACGAGGCAGACTTTTGGTCATACTTTATTTTTTCTTTGGAAAACTAGTCAACCTCATTTTTTTAAAAGTTCGTTGATTTTTCTTTTCTATGAGCAGAATATTTCGTCGAAATTTCAATTCATACAGTAGACTTGTTTGTTGTTGTTGTTTCGCTTTTTAGCCATCGATATCCATTTAGTTTACCTATATTCCGCCGTAAGTCCACTTGTTGTAAAATATAATTCTGCTCATTTGAAATAACAAGATCCCCTTTACATAAAAGTCAAAACTGACAAATGTACGCCGTCGACGCGATGGTAGTGGATAACTTTGCGACCTCTCTATGAGACCTTACGTATCAAACAAACTAAATTTCGATGGCCAAAGTGCAAAACCACGTTTTCCGCTGCGATGTTTCAAAAACTCCCCATTCATTTTATTTTATCGTAGAAAATCAAGCGAACATTACAACTTGAACTTTATACAGACTTTTCCTCGATTAGAGAAGAAAAGTCAAGAAATTTTTCAAGAAATTACGTTTCCAACTAGTTTTCCAAAAGTGAAGTATGACAGTAAGTCTGCAACGTCATAAATGGAGAAACGTTGTTTCGCACTTTGGCCATCGGTTTGCGTTCCACTCCAAGTTGGAAATCTAGCACTTACTGCTGACTGACTTGACATGGCAGTATAAGACCCATGACAGTGTTCTGTCCATACATCCATACATTCTTTGTAAAGGTATGGTATGGACTCTATTCTGCCGTACGAAAGAAGAACGCCGTATGAACATCCGAGAGTTGCCAAGTTTCCCTTGATAAAACATGTATATTTGACGACATTCATGCAAAGCATCATTGTTAGGGACAATGTTTTCCTCGTCGATACCTTTTTTCTTTTTTTCCCCTCATCGATACCTCCTCGAACCTAACATCTTCGGCCAGGAATGAGAGAGGCACAAAAAGCATGGCATGTAGTTGCTGCTTCGTCAGAAGTCTACATACGAGATCGATGGAGATTTGTTGATTT